GCTGGGCTGGCCGCAGGGGGAGCTGCAGCAGCTGGAGATGCAGGCTGGCTTCCAGCAGGTGGTCCTGCAGGTGGTGGTCCTGCAGCAGGTGGGCTGGCAGCAGGGGGAGCAGCAGGAGTGGGTCATGGTGTCAGGTGTGGAGGCGGGTCCTGGTTGCAGGTGAGTTTCGGAGGATGTGATAAACTCTTCCTATCTGGGTCTTTTATACAGGAGCCTTTAAAGTTGGGACCAATCAGGAGGACTTTTCTTTGCTGTTGTTTACAACATTTTCTAATCCTGATTGGGAATTGGCAAGGAGGAAGTTGTTCTTTAGGTGTTGTGAATCCTTTGAAAGTTAAGTGTTTAATCTGCCTCTTAATTGGCAGTAACTTACAGGGACTTTTTCAGATAAAAGGAAAGAGTCACGTCATCAGCATCCTTCCTGATTGCTGATTGTCACCTGGGCATGCGCAGCTCCTGCCCAGAGAGGGTGGAGGTAGTGATTTCTCCACACTTTTGTTCCTCTGGCTCGACCTAGGTTAGGAAGTGTCGGTGGGTGGGGCGGGGGTGTGCTGTATGATCCCAGCATGCACCAGTGCCTGTTTGCCCACAAAATCCTGACTGAAGACTAAACAGGCCTCTGTCTGTGTTCCAGCCTCTGCACCTCTATCTGCCAGATCTGTCAAGCACACTGGGGAGGAAGCTGCCCCGCACAAGGGGATCCCAGTGGCAGAGAAGAGCCAGGGCCTGAGGATAGCTGTGGAAACATCATCTGAGGATGAGATGGATTTCAATGAATTCATGGGGACCGCTGTTTCTGATTCACATAACCCTCAGAGGCAGTTAGGAGGGGGGCGTGGGGCTTTCTACTGTTTCACTGTCCTTGCATCTGGTTCTAGGTGGAGCCTGAGCTCCAGAGAAGTCATTGATCTGAGGCATTCATCTCCCTTCCTTCCTTCTCTCCTCCTCCCATTCCTTTCTTTTCTTCAAGAAAGATTGAAGAGTTGTTGACATGATACCCGATGCATCTTTGAGGACTAACATTTAGAATTTCTTTCTTAGTCACACCATTCATTTGAAAAGAATAAAGTGATTCGTTTCCATCTTGACAGACTATCAGAAAGTGAACACACCCATGACTTTATGACCTGGCTTGGAAATAGAAATTAATTCCCTCCCTCCCATGGTATCTTCCTCTCAGCCTGAGAGGGAGCTATCTGCTCTGTTGACTTGAACCCTGTAGATCAGTTTGGGTTTTGTTTGTCATTTCTCCCCCAGTACTGAACACAGGGCCTTGCATATGCTAGACAACTGTTCTACCACTGAGCTTCACCTCTGGCCCCTTTGACTGACTTTCATGTAAACAAAAATAGAATAGTCTACTCTCTGCTTACCTTAGGATTGTGAGTGTCATCACTGTAATTGTCTGTATTTTGTCTCATTACCCATAATTATGTGTAGTTTATTTAGTCTCAGTAGCTAATTTCCAGTAATGTATGAACTTGATGCAGTTTATCTGATGTTTGAGAAACACGTACCTTGTTTGTAGTTTGGGACTTTAAAAAATAAGGCTGCTATGAGTGTTTATGCACAGAGTTTTTGATGCGGGTAAATGCATTCAAAAATTTCTATTGTGCAAGAAAGTGGCTGTAGAATTGCTCATATAGTTGTTGTTTTTTTTTTTTTTTTGGTTTTTCTCTGGTACCAGGAATCGAACTCACGACCTTACGCTTGCCAGGCAGGCGCTTTTGCCGCTGAGCTAAATCCCCAGGCCCATGCTCATATAGTTGCTTGGTATTTTTCTTTGAAAATACTTTTGCTCTTCTTTCATTAGATTTATTCTTGGGCATTTTTATTCCACTGTGCATGTTCTAATTTAAAACTTCAATTGTATTGCTTTGAAATATAGAAAAAAATTTCATTGTTTTATTGATCCTGTACCCACACTGGTTATTTCTAATTTATTGTAGAATATTTTTCTGTGGATATTTTTCATTCAGAGTCATGTCATGTACCAATGATAATACTTTTAATAATTTCTTTTTTTTTTGTCTTTTTGAGACAGGGTCTCAATATGCAGTTCAGGCTGATCTCGAACTCACTGTGTAGCCCAGGCTGGCTTTGAACTCAGGGATCCTCTTGCTTCAACCTCCAGAGTGCTGGGATTACAGGTGTGTGCCACCATGCCTGGTCCAATACTTTTAATAATTTCATAACAGTCTTTAATCTTGTGCTTTTTCCTGCATCTTCCAAGAGAGTGAGTGGTTGTCACTTTAGTACCATGCTGCATAATTATGTGGTGAGTGTCTTTGACTATTCCCTGTACATAGGGAAGAACTCTGTATATTTCATGAATATGATGCTTCTTATCTTTTTCTGTAGATCATTTTAAATAGAGTGATGAGACTTTTAAAAATTCTTTATTTACTAGGTATATTTTTAGAATTTTAATACTTTTAATTAGTATTTAACATTTATTATACATTTAATATATTATAATTAAATAATATTTAAATATTAAACAATATATTTAATATATTATTTTATACTTAGTATCTATGGGGTATGATATGATAATTCAATACATATAGACACTGTGCAATGATCAGATCAGGGAAGTTAACATTTTCATGTCCTTAAACATTTAAAAACATTTCTATGGGCATATAATGCACAGATCATAAGGTGCAGTGTGTTGCTTCAATATGAATGTATAATATTCATGATCAAACTGGGTTAATTAACACTTTCATTTAATTATGATAACTTTGTGCTTGGGGCTCTTGATCTCCCATTTCTAGTTACTTACAATAAACATGACGGGGCGTTGGGAGCTCTAACCACTCCACCATACACAGAACGCCGGAACTTCTTCCCTGTGCCGTTTTACCTACCGTCAGACCTCTCTCGGCTCCCGTCACTCAACCCTTCTCAGCCTCTTGTAATCGATATTCTACATTTAAATTGACTTTAACACCCACGTGTGAGAGCGAACCTGCAGCTTTTGTTTTTCAGTTAATGTCTTAACAACTGTGGGTGGGGCAGCCATAAATGTGGGCAAGCAGGTATTTCTCTGCTACAATGGTCCCATTTCCTTTGCGCATATACTCCAAAGTGGGAGAGTTGGAGCAGACGGCTCACAATTTAGTTCAGTTCTGCAGCATACTGTTAATGGTCTTCTGGATTTCAGTGGCGGCCACTGTGATTTCACCTTTCTCATTTTGAATTGCACTGATTTGGGTCCTTTCCCTCCTTTTTTTGGTAAGGTTGGCTAAGGGTTTGTTTACGTTGTTTTCCTTTTAAAAAACCATTTCTTCAATTCATTGATTCTTTGCATTGTTCTTTTAGCCTCAATTTTATTAATTTTTGCTCTGATCTTTATAATTTCCATTCTTGTGCTAACTTGGGATTTGAATTATTCTTGTTGTTCTTGGATTCCTAGCTACACGTGAATTACCAAAAACTGAACCAAAAAGGTATAAAAACTCTGAATAATCCAATAACAGGTAATGAAATTGAAGCAGAAATTTAAAAAAGTTCATACTAAGGAAAGCCCAGGACCCAACTGATTCACTGCTGAATTCTACGAGAACTGCAGGGAAGATGGAAGGCCAGGAGTCCTCAGACTTTTCAATGTCGCTGAAGGGAAGGGAGTGCTTCCTCCCGGAAGCTAGCATCACGCTGACTCCCCAACCAGACAACAATCCAGTAAGCTGCATAATTAACAGAAGTCTCACACTCAGGTAGCTCACTCTACAGGGATTAGTCTTGACCTTAGATCAAGCCTTTAGTGGGATATTTATTTATTTATTATTTTGCACTGTGGAACCCAGGATTTAAAGTTACATTATAGCTCTTAGTGGAATATTTAATTCATGTTCAACATGAAATTGTATCATTGTATGTGAACGGAGAGATACTGTAACTATCAAATTGTGATTTTATTCACTGTGATTCTAGTTCAAAATGGCAACGTTCACATTCATTCTTTTTTTTTTTTTTTGTCTTTTTGTGACAGGGTTTCATGATGCAGTTCAGACTGGCCTTGAACTCACTTTGTAGCCCAGGCTGGCATCGAATTTCCAGCAATCCTCCTGCCTTGGCCAGCAGAGTGCTGGGATTACAGGCATGCGCTACAACGCCAGGTTCATATTCATTCTTTTTATGGCAAGTTTTTTTTCTATATTTTCATCTCTCCACCACGCTTTCATAATAGGAATATTTAAGAAATAAAATATAATCTTTTCAAATTAAAAGCCCTTGAAAGTTCTCCATGACCAGTGTACACAGATAGTATGTATCAAGACATTAACCATCAAACTGTATGCTGTTTCTAAGTCTGAGAAATGTTGGTCTGAACCAAGTTGAAAAATTGAATTTACTATAGAAACCTTTTATATTTACTATGTTACTTTGTCCTATCAGTTTAAAGGTATGAGTGGACATTCTGCATTATTTCCCCTGAATAGTTTTTCTGAAATCTCCTGTATCAACAAGCACTTGTATTGGTCTACTTTTCATTAGTCTGATGAATTACTGGAGGCAGCCTCCTTTGTAAAGAAAGGAGGTTTGTTTTGGCTCATGGTTCTGGAAAGGCAAGGTCAAGGGGCCTCATTTGGTGACAGTCTTCGTGCTGGCAAGGTGTCAGTGTGGTGCAGGGCGTCATGTGATGAGACAGGGAGCTTGTGTGTTGGGTTCCTGGGTCTGGTCTCAGCCCCTCATCTCACAGAGCCACCACTATCCAACCATGAAGGCCCCACCCTAATGGGATTCTCTAATCCCAGTTGCTTCTCAAAGTTCTCTCCTCTAGACACATTGTCTGACTGATTATAATTCCACCCCCATATTACCTCAGTAGAGAATATATTTCAACAAATGAAGCCTTTGTGGGGAAATAGGAAGCTGTATCCAACTGTTGGTAGTATAGGAACAATTTTAATGCTACACATAAAAATAAAGAGCACAACAGACCTTCAGGACATGGTGGAGTCTACACCCCCTTTCAAATCCTGCCCACTCTTCCAAGTTCAAGGTCTGATTTTTGCTTTATGGTTCTATCTAGCATTTGTACTTTCATGAGTATTGTGTGCTCTCTGCACATTAGCGTGTGCTATTTCCTCCATCTAAGTGTTCCTTTTCCATTGCTTTGGCTGATAGACTTCTACTTATCCTTAGATAAACACTCCTCTGAAGTGCTGCTCTCTCATGAGGGCTCCTTGCTCTACGGGTGCAGCTTCTTCCTCTGAGCTCCCCTAGAGCAGCCGTTCTCAGACTCAAGCCTAAGTCAGCATCGCTACAAGTTTGAGAAAGCAGTCAGGGCTG